TTATAACTATATCAACTTTAATTTGTAAACTTAGTTTTTTTATAAACTTTAGTATTTGGCTTATTATACAGGGTTAATCAAAAGGTTGTTTTTTACCCTAAGTTTAAAACACACCCTGTGCAATAATTTGATGAGAAATGTCTTCTGAGCATTTTGTTTTTTTGACACATGCCTTGGTTAATTTTTAAGAGCGAAATGAATTTGCTACTGTAATAGATAAAATGTAAATTAGTATTAATGAAATATTAATGAAAAAAGCCTGTAAAAAATGAAAAAATAATGAGAGAAAAAGGATATCGCTAAATAATATCTCCCAACTCTTAAAAGTACAAATTAAATTCTATCTAAAATGGTATTGTTGGAAGTTTATTATCTAGCAAAACCAGCCATTTTAATGTACTTTTCTGTAATATACTTGGGGCATATCTCCGCAAAATTATATAAAGGAATTTTAAGTGAAAAGATAAGAGATAAGAGTTAATTTATTCAAAGTAATAAACAATAATGTTCCAACAACCAGAAACCGGTAAGAAATTGCTTTATTTTTTCAGTGGGCGCAAAACATGAAATGTTTTATGTGGAATTAAAGGCGTGACAGAGAAAACCTCCACTTAAATTTTAAAATGCCGAGAAATTAAGAAAAATCTGTTACGTAAAAGAAAGAGTTCGTATTCAAAATAAAGCTTATCGCCATCGTAAAAAATACAAACTTCAAAATAATAAGCTTAAAAAAAATAAAATTTAGGTCAGCTTATTACAGGGTGTGTCTTAAATAAGTGCAAATATACTTAGGGGTAGTATATGTAGACCCCAGAAACATAATTATAAGGTTTTTCTCGCGAAAAAAAAATGAAAATTTGGATTTTTTTTAGTTTTTAAAAAACATAATTTGTTGATAACATGGCAATATAGATAGTAGATTAAATTTACAAGAAAGAAAATCGAGAAAAGATCTAGTGGTTCTCAAAATTTTAGCAAAAAATCATTTTTTTTTTAAATAAAAATAAAATTTTGAAAAAGTATAATAACTCAATTATTTTGGATTTATTTGAATAACGGTAAAGAGAAAATATGTTTTTTTATCGAAATTTACGAGCCCTGAAAATATTTGCACTAATTACTTATATTATTATTATATAGACTCACCCTGTATAAAAGTGTTTTACACAAAATGCTAAAATTAAAACACTAAGGTACGAGAATTTTCAGCAAATTATTTAAATAGTACCTACGTCTAAAACAGGGGATTTCTAAAAAAATATGTTTATAATAAAAATTTCTTTAGTATTTTTGGGAATGTAACTAAGTAATTTTTGAAAACTGTCAATAAGAAAAATAAAGTGTTATTCAACTATATATTTATTTATGGAACACCTAGTAGAGGTGAAACGTGATAGCTGTCTTAAAAATGATATACTGCCAACCCTGATAAATTATTTTAAGGTTTCTCGCAGCGAAACCCAATAAAAATAGCAAAATAAACTACAGACCAATATTAAAAATATATAGTTCTTATTTTTTTTATATTTGATTTTTCTAACCCTCCCATCGACTTGAACCGTGTGTAGCGTTTGTAAGTTTCCAGTATAAAAAATATGAATTTTTGAACAGTTAACGAAAAAATTAAATAATTTTTATCATAAGCAAAATCCCACTTTTTTTTTGTTCATAATCAAAAAATTAAACGTACAATTAAATAATAATTTTGAATAGAGGATATTATACAAAATAGAAAGAAAAAATATAGCCATATCTAGAATTTATAATTAAATAATACGATGCATATAATGCAAAATGAAATTGTATGTTTTATATTACTGTGCTGATTTTATGTCGAACTATTCAAACAGGACTAAAAATTTATTTTGAATAGAAATATCTTTTGAAATATTAATATTTTGTTGAATTTATTCTGAATAATTTTCATTTCATAAATAATTCATCACATCAAAAAGTAAATTTTATTTATTTATATATAGAGTGTTGAAGAAATATTCTCTTTGAATTTGCTTTGAAGTTTTTTATATTGATGCTTACAGTCAAGTGTTCATTATTATATGCATTAGATATTATATTTAAAGGTAAATGTAAACTCAGCTGATAAATAAAATATGGCAGCATTTTCCAAATCTTAGTTTAAATTAAAAATAGTAGTTCAAAAATCCGGTTAAATGCACCCCCTACAGGTTCAACAATCTAACATGTACAATCTTAACGTGACTCACAATTTAATAAAGTATGAATCACATTTACTTATATACTAAGTTTAGTTACTTTATGTGTACAATATGTACAATAAAGAATTGAAAAAATATCACACAAAAACCGTTAAAGACAACATAACTTAAAACACGTAAAATGACAACAATAACCAGTCTCATAATTTAGTATAATATGAAACGCACTTCCTAAATTGTTAAGTATAGAATTAAAAAAAAATAACACTACAGAATTATTATATAAAGTTATAAATATTTACATAGTTTTACCTGTGAAAAACTGCCTATAAAAGTTCATAAGTTGCATTAAATCTTTTTAAGTCAAAAAATAAAGCGTATTCAGCACTGGTGCTACATAGAAAAAATAGTTAAAACTAAACGATTAGAGAAAACAATAAACCTACAATATCAGTTCAAGATTTTAATATAAGACTCAACCAATTATATACATCTAATATTAACACAACTCATAATTTATTAAAATATGAAGCGCACTTCCTGCATATACGCACAACTTTTAAACAATTTTTTATTTGTTATAAATATTTTTAAATAAAACAACACAATTTATAGGAGCCAGAAGTTAGAAAAACTTTTATTTTAGCTCAGAAATACAAAAATTTATAAATTTCATTATGTCCTTTTTTCCTCACGGAAAATAAAAGTGCACAATCAGCATTGATGTTATAAAGGAAAACCGGTAAAAATAGACGACTGAGCAAGAAAGAAACAATGAACCTACTCACCAATATCAGTTCAAAATTTGAATACCGCACTTAAACCGTCCAATGGAACACAAGCTACGGAACCCACTGTAGCTGTACGAAAATACCGAGGCAAAAACACGTGTCGGGATACGAGAGCGCAACACGAACAGCCACAGGACGACGTAGCGAGTCCGGCGAGCTTAGGCAGACTGATCCTCGTTCGCATTGGTCCGAAGGATCGCGGCATTAGTCCTAGGAAAGAGTGGGGAGAGGAAAGCATTTACAAGACGGTGTCCTGCTTCTGGTCACTTGGCTTTTGAATTACCTGTGTAGCCTGGCTATTGTCCTTAAATGGAGTTCTATATAGAAACACGGCTCAAAAATTCAACAGTTTTGCTTATACACACACCATACAGATGTAAATTTTGGTCCTACCATTTCAAATTTTTCAAAGGATCTATAAAGGAAGTTGGGAAGTAAAAAGCAAGGAAACCACGATGATACTGCATTTCTCTGTATCCTTTACTATAAAGATATTAATAAAAAAAATGGATGGAAGACCGAAGTCTCTCACCAGTACACGTCCAGGAACTTCTTCCTAAGAATGTATCAGTAGATGTTCCACAAATCATAATATATACAAAATAATCAGCATAAGATAAAGCTGTTGGAAGCAAAAATATTTATTAAAAAGCAGCTATGGTTTAGAATGAAGCCAAGATTGGCATCGAGAGCAGGTATGAAGTATTACAGATACAATATATTTTATGAAGCAAGAAAAGAAATACATAATCTTAAGAAAAAGATACTGATAATTATTAATATGATTATAATTGTTAAAAAAAATCAAATGAATCATACTGCAAATATGCTGACGCAGCTTAAAATAACAAACAAAACCGAGTCTATCTAAATTATATATCTAGTTTAATAGACGCTCTCTTCAAGATGTAGTTATATTACACCAGCAATTACATATATACCTCTAATCTAAGTTCGAAATCATTCTCATTAGTTCACAATACGGAATTTGGAATAACGCAATTCTGCAAGAGCAAAACCGAATACCAACTCGAACGCTGCGAATTCCTTGGGTTATTTCTGCGAGAGTCTATCTCCGTTCGCCCTGCACAGATCCATCTGTCATTATTCAGTTTAATACATACTTCATTACGTACTAATGAACAGCCAATTGACTATATTAGGACGGCTATACAGTATATTCTAGGAACAGGCCTTTTGTTTTAATTAAAAACGAAAATGGATTTATATTGCACTATATTTTCTGTTATTATATTACTTAAATGGATAATACTTTCTTATATTAAGTTTAGATTATAGTAATCAGAAGTTTCGTAAAATTGCATTTGTTTATTATTATATTTTTTCAAATTACATTATATTTTTATAACGTTTAAATATGAAACTTTCTGTGAACTTTAGGACCAAAAATGTATATTAGTTAGAAAAATCAATGAACCGAAAAATAATGAATAATAGCGCAAAAATTACACAAAACCTAAAATGTTAAACAAACTCATAATTTAATGAAATATGATACGCACTTAATTTTATTTAGAATTATTAAAAATATGTGCTATCAAAAAATATATACACATACTTAATTACGTACTAACAAACAGTCAGTGGACTAAATTAAGACTTGTATAGGTTTACAGCTTTAATAAACAGGTTGTTTAAAATACCAATATATAGCCTTCAATAGATTTGATTTTATCAGTAAATATAATAATTATATAAAAACGTATATTGCAATATAACCTAAATTTTATATAAAAGCAGTTACAATTAACTTGGAACATGTTTCTTAAAATAAAAAGGCACTATGTGCGGAGCGAAAACTGCATCTATATAAATCACGAATCGAAATTACAGAAATATGCGAAAGCAAATATTTGCATCAATTATTAACGCTTGTTAGACAGCCTCCTTTTAAATGTAGGCAGCACATCAATAATCGAAACAAGTTTTCAACTTGGAAGTTGCAAAATCAAATTTGAACAGATTGTATAAAGAGAAGAAAAAAAAACAAACAGAAAATATTTTGACTTACCAGGAAAGTCCTGAGCGTAGGTTTTCACTTCCAGATTTTGCACCGTTTCATCTAAAACAAAAATATTTATTAAGTAAATATCTGTGTATAATAAAAGGAACCAAACAGAATAAAGCTAAACAAGGTAGGGAGTTTATAGATAACTGAAAGTACGCTATAAATATAATATGTTTAGAATCCACTAAACACAGTGATGATACAGGAAAGACGAAGTGTTAGGTTATAGATTGTATGGTTATCAAGTCGAATAAAAACTACTTTCATTCCCTGAGGGTATCATAACGTTGAAATAAATAAAATACTTATTATATATTAACTTTAGGGACATCTGAAATAAAAGGTGTAGCAAATAAAAATCGACACAAAGGCATTAAACCGAGATTTGTTATTCTTTGAACAACAAAACAAAATCGTGGAATCCAATACTTCAGAAACAATTTAAGAAAAGGGGTTAATCAATAGGATTAGAATCTAAAGTGAACAAATCCTTTCAGCAATGTCGTAAACCCGCCCTAAATGTATAGCGCCCTGATCGAGCAATCAAGGACTTATCCAGGATAATAGTGGAATATCTGTGTATGAATTGACTGGAAGGCGTTATTATATCCAGGATAGATTAGTTCAGCTACAGGGAAATGCAGTGAGAAGATCCACTAATCAAAATAAATTCTAAAGAAAATTCAGATGTATATTTTCTGCTAGATATGGGGTGCTATTCTATCTCTTACGACAGTTATTTAAAAATAACATAACTCAATAGTTGATTCTTTAAGAAAATAACACCCATAAAATAACGACACATTCTTAAAGGTATGTGTGCCTTTACATAGAAAATGTTTACAAAAATTTCCAACTGAAATTTATGTTCTACGCCATTTAAATACGAAATTATCAAAGTAACTAAAAATAAAATAAAATTACCATATTACTTTTATAAGTCTTGAAATATTCAGAATTCGATTTCCCCTAATTTTTACTTTCCATTAAATACTCGTATTTTTAAAACGAAATTATCATATAATATGCTTAAAAATTGATAAAATGCCGAACTTCAATAACGGAAATTACTTTATGAACTGCTTATTTTACGGTGGTATATTCGAAAAACTTTATCGCATTTTTCTTATATTATTCAGTTAATCCAGGGTAATTAAGTCCTTAGTTGCAGATCTACATAATGATTTCCGATAAACCTGCTTAAGTACCAGGTTTACAGGGGTCATTCTCCAGAAAATATACTTCTTGATTCATTTTTGTTGACTTTATAAGTTTGATATTTATTTTTAATAAAGCTGAATTTAATAAGTATATCCATTAAATAAAAATATATAACTAGAACTGTGAACTCAAAGAGTTTTACAAACATTTTACTATTTCTTTAGTATTATCCCTTTATTTTTTTTGTAAGAAGATACCATATTATGCAGGTTTTTTCATGTAAACTGTTCAAACAAGCCCCTAGTCTCTAATGCATCTGCTTTGCTATGAAACTAAAACTTCCGGATATTGTTGAGCTAGAGAATTTTATTGATGGTTTGACATGGCATACTTTCAGTTCGGTTCTAACCTAAAACGCAAACGCAATTTCCTTTTAAGATATTTAGGAAAAACGATCGTATAACACAAGCAGGCTACTAATTCCATTGCGGTTTTATTTAGAATTTTTTAAATTTTTTTGTTTCTATACTAACGTCCCTAATACTTGAGAACTTCACAAGAAGAGCCTCAAGGGAAGACTGGCAGGTTTCAAAAAGGGTGATTGACCAATCAAAGATAAAATGGGCTATAAACTCATTTGAGCCATACAAATCACCGGGACCGGATGGTATTTGTCCAATAATGCTCCAGCAAGGACCAGACCTACTGACGAGTAAACTTTGCACACTACTAAGAGCTAGTCTGGCCTTAGGATATATACCGAGAATTTGGAAGCTGACCAGGGTAGCTTTTATACCCAAGAATGGGCGTCTGGACTATTCTACGGCGAAGGCCTTTAGGCCCATCAGTCTTATGTCGTTTGTACTAAAGGCTCTTGAGAAACTAATGCAGGACAGGTATGTTAGGGATGAAGTAATGGGAAAAGGACGATTTCACCAAGACCAGCATGCCTACACAGCAGGACGATCAACCGAATCGGCACTCCATCAGCTAGTAAGCAAAGTGGAGTCGACGTTAGAAACAAGAGAAGTGCTTTTAGGGGCATTCCTCGACATAGAAGGGGCGTTTGATAACACCTCATTTCAGTCACTGACGAGAGCTACAAGGAACTTCGGATTAGAGGAGACCTGCTGCAGGTGGATAGACTGCATGCTCAAAAGTCGAGTGGCATATACCACCCTACTAAATGAGACTGTTGCAGTCCGGGTGGCCGGAGGATACCCGCAGGGTGGAGTTCTCTCCCCTCTGCTGTGGAATCTCGTTATGGAAGGACTGCTTGATAGTCTCAACAGGGCTGGTTTCAGCATTCTGGGATACGTAGACGATTTGGTCGTGTTAGTCAGAGGTAAGTTTAACACAACAGTAAGGGAGCGAATGCAAAGGGCCCTGAAGATTGTGGAATCATGGGTGACACGGGAAGGACTAAATATTAGTCCTACAAAGACCGTAATAATCCCCTTCACCAAACGAAGAATTTTGAACCTCTAAGACTCTGCGGTGATGAGATTCCTCTCTCGGGGGAGGTCAAGTATCTAGGAATCATGCTGGATACCAAACTGACCTGGAACCGACATTTGGAAAATGTCACAAGGAGGGCGGTGACTACACTAGCGGTAGTCAGACGACTTCATGGAAAAATCTGGGGCCTCAGACCACAGATGGTGCACTGGCTGTACACTGGAGTGGTGAGGCCTTCAGTAACATATGCATCCTTGGTATGGTGGCCTAAAGTAATGCAACAAACAACAATGCTCAGCCTTAGCAAGGTGCAAAGACTTGCTTGTCTGAGCATAACAGGGGCAATGAAATCAACGCCCACTGCATCAATGGAGGCGCTTCTGGACCTTCCGCCTCTTCACATAGTGATCCAGGCGGAGGCAAGAATGGAACTCTATCGACAACAAAGTGTCTTGTCTCCGGGAAATAGGACAGAAACAGGACACTTAAAGAGGGAAGATTCTATCGGAGGATCTCTACTCCAAATGAGATCGGACCAAATGACCCCTCTTTATCACTACCACAAACCATTCGAGGTGAACAAAATGGATCGAGGAATGTGGACAGATATAACATTCCTTCAGGATGGACTAACCTGGTATACAGACGGGTCAAAGACCGCTGAAGGAACAGGAGCTGGAGTATTTGGGGAAAGACCAAGGCCAAGCTTTTCCTTGGGTAAACAGTCAACCGTATTCCAGGCAGAAATCTTCGCCATTCTACAATGTGCAAGAGAAAACAATAGAAGAGCTTATTCAGGTAAGCTCATCAATATATGCTCAGACAGTCAGGCGGCACTTGGGGCGCTTATGAACCCAAAGGTATCGTCGAGACTCGTCTGGGAATGCCTGGGTGAACTGGGAGCTCTGGCACGAAGGAACAGAATTAAATTATTCTGGGTGCCGGGCCACAGCGGCATCCAAGGCAACGAAAAAGCCGATGAGCTAGCTAGGCAGGGATCATCGGCATCCTATCTGGGTCCAGAGCCAGTACTGGGAATACCCAAATGTATGGCCCGTCGTGCACTCAAACTCTGGATCAAGGAAAAGCACAATGTCCACTGGAGAAACAGACAGGGGCACAGGCACAGCAAGGCTTTTCTCCAAGGACCTAGCTCTAAAACCGCAAAAGAACTGCTAATGCTTAGCAGAAATAAAGTGCGGATTACAACAGGCCTCTTGACAGGATACATGGCTGTCAAGTGTTATCTGAACAAGCTCAACCTGTATCAAGGAAGTCTTTGCTGCAGACTCTGCGATAAAGATCCTGAAACAGCGGAGCACATAATATGTCATTGCGAGGCTCTGGATCGCAAGCGACACTTTTTATTTGGGAAAGCTAGGCTAGAACCGGAGGAACTATGCTCCCATCCTATCAAGGACCTGCATAAGCTAGTGCAGGGCACAGGGATAGGAGAATGGGTGCAGATATAGAAGGGGGACAAACACAATAGGCCTCACAGGTCGCAGTGTTTCCGGCAGAGGACGGCCCCTTGTTGTGGAAAAAAAAACGTCCCTAATACATAAATATTACTTAAGAAATTTTATTTTGTTTCATATTATAAAGCCACAAGCCGCTATTAATATCAAAAAGTTCGCTTGAAAGAGCTCCGAAGTGGTGTAGACTTTTTTGTATGAAAAATTTCATATTATTTTAATAAAAGAAAACATCTTTTCGGCTATGATGGCGGTTGGAAATTTTAAATGTTTTCAAAGGCGCTCCTCTAAAAGTTATACTTTTAATTTCTTCTATTCCTGTTATGAAGCTTCTTTGAAAGTTTTAATCAAACCTTGGCAAACTGCAACTTCACAGGGAATATTTTGCTTCTTTAATATTTAGGTTAAAATTTATTTGTTTGTTGTTGGCGAGATCTTAAGAACTTTAAAATTTTAGTGAAAAAACACTGAAGTTAGTTCTCTACTGGGTTGTTGCAAATTAATTTGCGTAAATAGATTACGTATTTTAAGTGCTTTTTGTTAATAGCGGCGTTTAAATTTATTTTTTAATATATATTATAGTTTTATAAAAGTCCCTTAAGAATATAACTATAAGTTCTACACCTGGGTACCATGACACGAGGGTCACAGGGGCAACGAAAAGGCAGAATAAATGGCCGAAAAAGACCCATCAACGTCATTTATAGACCCAGAACCCTTCTGAGGCGTTGAAAAAACAGGCAAACACAAAAATGGCCAGAAAACGGCAGGTCAACAAATCTCTAGAACCGTTGAGAAAATCACCAGAGAAGAAATAGGCAAAGGAGTTCATAGTAGAACATTAGGCAAAGCAAAGACAGTCAAAGCTGTACCTGCTCTACTACCAGGGCATTGTAAGCTCAATAGGCATCAAAAGATGATGTTATTGACGGACGAGGCCATATGCATATTTTGTCAATC